AAGATTTTGCCATGGTATTACCTATCAGGGTTACCACAGAGATCCAATATCCAATAAATCACAGAAAATGGATTAGCAAATAGCTTTGATCATTCACAGTATAAATATTTACTCTGAATCTCTACAGGCATCTGTCAAGCTCTATAACTCACAGTCTGATATCCCTGAGACAGTCGAAAGGGCCTGAGGAAATGAATGCAAATTTGTAATTACACTCCAGCTCAAGATTTGGATCGTTTGGTAGCCATGTCTCATCAGAACACCGGGATGCTGTGTTGTTTTGATGGTTATCAGAACAGTTTTCATTTCCTGCTGGACTGTTTTTTTTTTCCCAAAAGAATATTTGTATGCATTTCTGTGTCTCTGTGTATCTCCCATCTCGGTCAGTATCCCTGTCTGAATCACAACTCAACTGAAGATTAGTTTACAAAAAGGCAAAAAAACAAAAATGTTTAATCCCAACTAAACCTGCTTAGCTTAAACTCAAATCTGATTCCAAAGAGATAAGTGCCCGTTTAACCTGCTCACATATTACCTATTATTAAAGCTGCATTTATAACACTTCTCTTTGTTTTTTGTTTCTTTTTTTTAAGGCGTCTGCTCATTTTGCCCAAAATAAAGAATCCTTAAGCTTAGATGAGCAAAAAAAGCAGTGATTTTTCTTTTTGAAAACTGGCTTTTTCAGTAAACTGGTATAACCCCTGACAATAGGGCTAAATAAATCTGTACCCCTGTGGATGAGCTGGACTGTAGCAATGCGGGGTTTTTACATTCCAGTCATGCTTCTGTGCAAACAGCAAGTAAACGAAGGCCTAACCTTGCACGCTCCCATGGAGAGGGCCTGCAATGAAATTGCATATAATCACAGAAAGCAGGGTGCAAGTGCCCTGGGATTTGCTTGGGATCAGTGCTCAGAGATGGGGGCTGGAAATCTGGACACTAGGAGCAGTCAAATGCATCAGTTTAAGTTCAACTACAATAGTGGGACATTTGGAAGCAATCTTTTATATATTTTTGGTTGAAGCCATGCGCATAGAAAGCTCACATTTGTAGTCTGTCTCTGGCAAAACTATCGTGTAAGTGATTAGTTATTTTCTGATTAATTTTAAATCACAAACTTTAACTTAGGGTTAAATGCACCAAGTGTTTCTGGCTTCACTTTGGGCTTTTTTTTGTTATATCTGGCTAGCCTGGAGTCCACCAGAAGGGACAGAGTGAGGACATAAGACGTGAAAGAGAGAGGTTGGCCCTCTCTGTTTCCCAGAGGGCATACGCAATTTTCAGCTCTAGTGAGCCAGCTCTAGGAATACCAGCATCTGAACACAGAACAATACTGAAGCTCATTTAGTCATGTCTTCCCATGGTAGCAACTGACTTGTCACCTTTTTTTAAATAAAAACAATTTAAACAAAAATGGCAAATTTAGGATTACTGGACACACATTTAATTCTCTGAGTTGCAGAGCACAAATTACAACAAACAACAAACTTATTTTTTATTACATCATCTGTGACTGATTATGTTAATCCTTTAAAAAACTTTACAGAATAAGTAAAAAATATCTGAATATTCATTCGTCTGAGGTGCCACTCATGCTCTGATTGGGCTCTGTCAGATGCAGTGGTACCTGACTACTGTAGTACTGAGAGTTGCAGGTAAGCTCCATGATTGATAGCTATGCTAAGAGTGCCACTGCTGCTCTCCCCAGGTGACGACAATTGAACTGCTGCTCAGCAGGCTGCATGTCTACCAGTCACACTACAGCAAAAACATCTTGCTTCTGTTCAGTAATGGCTTATTAATGTTCCTCAATTCTTCTTAAGGAGCTAAGATAAAGATGTTTAATGAGGTTTTCAGCTAAAAGCACAACAGTAAAGCTAAAGTAAATAAATGGGTTTCCTTGGAAGGGGTGTCTAATGGCTTCCTTTAAATAAAGTGATGCTTTTAAACCAAGTCTGGGCCCCTAAGTCTGCTTTTGGAAAACCATGGCTGCCCACATTGAGCTTAAAAAGGATTTGTGCATTTTTAGTTGACTCTAGCAGGGGCCCAGCTTTCGCCCTGTTGTGGAAGAGATTTCAGGTGGGGGACATAGCTTATGGCAGCTAGAGGTGGACAAAGAGCAGCTATGGGAGTTAACTGTCTCAACAGTGCTATGACCATCTATACTCCACTTTACTTCTCTAATCCACTTGGCTGAAGCAAGTCACAAGTGTGTCCCATTTGTATTGTTAGTGTTTTTGAATGTAAATCGGTGGACTTAAACATTTTATGCGGATTAGACAAGCTTAGCTCCATGCCTAATGCAATGATCAGGGATTTCTGGCACAGCAGATAAGTGAATGTTCACTAGTTACTCACTGGGCTCAACGGTTAAAGACCTTAGACCAAAATGGCAAAGTCTTGAACAAGACAGCTTTCAAGCTGGAGAAGCGTCACAGAGAAATGATCAGATTGGTCACTAACCTTTTGTTACATTAAACTGTATTCAAGCAAAAAACTTGGATGTAAAGACTGCTTAAATGTAGACTGAAGAAAGCTGAATGAAAGGAAATTTGGAAGAGAACTACACTACTTTATATGATAGAGGATTGCAGGTGTGTGTTCTTAAACAATTGAGTGAGACAGATTTTCCAGTTTGTCTACACTTTTCAGATTTGGCATTTATCCCCGAAGAACAAACAATTTGATTTTCTGTCTTGTGTAATTAAATTCAAGGTGTTGTATGGACAGGGGTATGTGTTGGTGATTTATCTAGCAGTTTTTAGTCAAATGTGCTTTGATTTATATTTACTGCAATGTCAAGAAACGTATTGGGTAACATTAAGGTTGGTTTTTAAATCACAGCAAAAGAGTACCACTAATACCTGAACCTTCAGTTCAGAGGCTGAACAAAGTTTGAGTATGTTAAGGTGTTTGCGTAAAAACACTAAACAGGTCACCAAGTGCCATAAAATCTGCAAAAAAGCAACTGAAATGACTCAAAGAATTTTGACCCACCTTAAGACACATCACTCATAATTTCAAAAGACTCTAGTACAGTATGCGCAGAACTGAGCAGTGCTTTTAAAATCAAAGCAAGGTCTACAACACCGATGAGTGTTTAAGATTAAAAGGGAGAACTAGTGGGTCACTTGGGAATCCAAAGAAGTTTATAGTGCTGTATGAAAAGAATTTTTAAATGCAAGTTGGAAAATGTCTTTGAAGTTAAAATGCTAGCTCAAATTGTCAATAATTCCTTTTAAAGTTTTCATTGAACTCTTGGTAACATGACGTGTGTAGTGTATAATCACACAGTTCCTCGCTCTTTTTAAGAATGTATGCAGTAACCCTGCCTTGGTTTAAAGGAATAGTAATTTTAAATAAAACATCATTAGCTAATATATGGGTTTAGAAACACAGGAAGAAGACATGAAAGGACAATAATTCAAGCCCCAAACTAGTCATTAGGTATTACGGTATTAGTTTGAAAATGTATCCATCAAAGTGTTAACACCTAGTAAGCTTTAATCACTGGGGATTAATAAATAAATACATTTTTATATGTACATGGTTTTAAAAAAAAATAGCAAAGAAAACATTACAGGTATGTTGTTGCATGTTTAACCAAATTCAGTCCAGTTGGGACAACAACAGTGGCATAAAAATGGCTATCAATCATCTGCAGCAATTAAGATTTAGAGGTATGGCTTTGTCCTGAGGCCTCCCCTCCCCCTGACATACACATACACAAAGATCCCAAAGATAAAATAGAACAAGTATCAGTGACAACAGACATGACATTAAGAGAGAAATTGTATTGTAAGTGGGTTGCAAAGCAGCTTGCAGAGGCAGCAGCAAAGATGAGCTAAACTCTATGTGGGCTCAGCATGTTCTATTTTATCACTAGGATGTTCAAAGATGTGTTGAGATATACACTGAAGCTAGCGGGCACTGAGATCAGTTGACATAAAGGGGTTTCAGAGTGAGTTTGACTATTGACTGAAGTAAAATTATGTTGTATTATGTTGGTTTAAAATTAATAATTTATGAAAGTTATTTATCCTTTGTTTATATGTGCATTAAAAATGATTTGCTTATTAAACAAACAGTCCTATATGTGAACATCTCTATTAACATGACCATGTCGTCATCCATCTGTCCATCCAGCCATCTTCTTCTTTCCGCTAATTGACTAAAGTCATGGTGGAGTTGGAGCGTGTTTTGAGCTATCACAGGGGGGAGAGGCAGGGTGCATCCTGGACAGGTCGCCAGTCTGGCACAGGGCGATCTATCATCATGATATCCTCATTTCATATCCTACCTCGATTTATTTTTACATATCTTATTATTCATCAATCACTGATGTGCATTAGGTTTTTGCCTCTCAGGGACCTTTTGGGGGTTTTTTTCTCTATAATGAGGCAGGTGTCTAATGGGTAGATGTTATTCATGCAGTGATTATGAAAAATATAAGTGCCTGATACCTGTGCTTCCAATTATCAAGCTAATTAGTGTGTGGCCAAAATTGCCACTGTTATCTGATGAATTACTTTTAGGAGGGCTAAAAGCTAGTTTGAAACAGAAAGGGTCATATTGCCCATAATGATGGTTTAGAGAAACATATTTTCACATTTTTGTAATGAATCTCGATTATCATCTGCTCTACTTGTACCATTACAGGTTGGAAGATGGCATCGCATCTTTTGTAGCATTCTGAAAGTATATTTATCAAGTGTGCTGATATGTGCTGCTGTCATTTGCTGTTTTAATTTTAATTTAGTGCCAATCAGCACATGTTAATGTACTTTGGATTAGGTACCCTGACTATATGTGAGAAAATACTTGGCTTGCTAAGTTAAGTTAAAAATAAGTTACTGTGGGCTTCTCAGCTTTCACAGTTGAAAAGAGAAAATAAAGTGCATACAATGTATAAAATAATCTTTAGCTAACTAAAATGCTGAAGCTATCACCGTCATCCTTTGCACCTTATTACAAATCTTCTCTCTTTTGTTCTCTTGTAGGTTCCATCTGAGTAGGAGGTGGCAACAAAAGACCAAATGCCATGGATGCATTCAATTTCACATACTGGAATGCCTCTGAAGGCAATGACACAGAAGTTGTGGAAGAGAGCGAAAGCGCCTACAAGACTGTGGAGGTGGTGTTCATCGTGTTGGTGGCTGGTTCCCTCAGTTTGGTTACAGTTATTGGAAATATCCTAGTCATGCTGTCCATCAAAGTTAATAGGAACTTACAAACTGTCAACAACTACTTTTTATTCAGCCTTGCATGTGCTGATCTCATTATTGGACTGTGCTCGATGAACTTGTACACAGTCTACATAGTGATTGGCTACTGGCCCCTGGGGCCAGTGGTGTGTGACTTGTGGTTAGCATTGGACTATGTTGTCAGCAATGCATCTGTCATGAATCTTCTCATCATAAGCTTTGATAGATACTTCTGTGTCACCAAGCCCCTCACCTACCCTGTCAAAAGGACCACCAAAATGGCAGGAATGATGATTGCGGCTGCCTGGGTCCTGTCTTTCATCCTATGGGCGCCTGCTATTCTCTTCTGGCAGTTCATTGTGGGTGGGCGGACAGTGCCTGAGAAGGAGTGCTATATCCAGTTCTTTTCCAATGCTGCCGTTACTTTTGGCACAGCCATTGCCGCCTTTTACCTACCTGTCATCATCATGATTCAGCTCTACTGGCAGATCTCAAGAGCAAGCAAGAGCCGTGTGAAGAAGGACAACCGGAAGCCATCCGGAGCGATCCCTGAATCTATCTCACCAGGCCAGAGGAGAAACAACACTCCAAAATCTAACAACAACAATGTACCAGGGGAAGATGCGGGGCATTCGCAAAGCCAGAATGCTGCTGATGGGGCAAACCAGCATGACGGAAAACTCCAGAATGGCAAAGGGCCTTCCTCAACCACTGCTGAGGGAGAAACTGAAGGTGATGATGCAGCAAGGGAGAACTGTACTCCTGGAGAGGAAAAGGAAAGCTCCAATGACTCAACATCTGGCAGTGTGGCTGCCTCCAATCAGAAGGACGAGGAACCAGCACCATCCACAGCCAACTCCAGTCTTGAGACAAACCAGCCAATCACACGTCAGCGAGCCAAAGCAGGGGGCTCCAAGCTGACATGCATTAAGATCAAGACTAAATCGCCCAAAGGTGACTGCTACACACCATCTAATGCCACTGTTGAGATTGTCCCAACCTCAGAGCGGCAGAACCATGTGGCTCGGAAGATTGTGAAGATGACTAAGCAACCTCCAAACAAGAAGAAGAAAGCAGCACCGTCACGGGAGAAAAAAGTTACCCGCACCATAATGGCCATCCTGGTAGCGTTTGTTGCCACTTGGACTCCTTACAACGTGATGGTTCTTATTAACACGTTTTGCTCTAGCTGTATCCCCAACACAGTATGGACTATTGGTTACTGGCTATGCTATATCAACAGCACCATTAATCCGGCCTGCTACGCCCTGTGCAATGCCACATTTAAAAAGACATTCAAACATCTTCTTCTCTGCCAATATAAGAATATTAGGTCAGCCAGATAAACACAGATCGCTTGGCAGGAACCACAGATGGATGAGTCGTGTGTCTACGATTGTGTGTTTGTGTGTGTCATCCATGAACATGAGTATCTGTGCCTATGAAAGAGGCTTGTAAGCATCATAAAGACTGCAAGAGTACCTTTGCCATCATTCAGCCATTAGTTTTCCAAATTCTCTCAATAACCGGTTGTAGCACTTTACACAAATTCAACTGAAGCCAGTTGCATTGAGATATGTTTTGCAGAAACAGTGTAGATACGAAAGGTTGTGAGGTAAACAAAAAAGGGTTACTGAATGCCTAAAAAAGAAAGGGGGGTGTAAAGCAGGGAAAAGGAAGTGAGACTGATCCGATGAAAAATGAACAAAGGTAATGAGCAGAGGAATATCTCTGCTGTAAGAAAACACAAGAAATCTTCAAAATGGGAAAATAGGGCTGACTGAATTTACAAACATCAGAAGTTTGAAGTTCAGAAAAGATACCTGTAGATAACTGTAAATATCACTATGTAATTATGTGTGTGAGTGCAGAAGTAGGTGCGTGCTGGCTCTGCATTTGTGTGCACACTTGTGGCCCTCTGCCTGCCTTCTTTCTGTGATCATCATCATGACACCTCCAATCACTCACATTAGGACTCGAAGAGTTCCCATTTAACAATGAGCCCCTGTGGGAATGAGTTGCCATTAATACATGATACTTACATAAGACTTTTAATGTTAAAGTTGCACTTGGCACGTTTGCACACTGGCAGGAACAGATCCCAGTCAGAAATAATGTTGAGCTTAAAAGATTGGTTTAGCAAAGTTTTTTTGTTCTTTTTAAGAATAAAATTTGTACATTAAAAAAAAAAGCAATTAAAATCCACTGAAGCAGCTGATAAAGATTGACAATACTCAACAGCAAAACTTAATTTGAACCAGTCAGATAAATCCATTATTCTGCTAATTGAGGATGGATCCCCATTGAGGATGTAAATATGCTCGTTCACATCAGTGATGGATGGGAAGACTATTAGCACTCATGTTTGTTGAGATGAAAATGGGACCAGGAGACAGTTGCTGTAGCTTAGTGTGGCACAAATAATGGAAACAAGGGGGAAATGGCTGATTAACGTGCTCTGTCATTTAATCTGCACAAAAAATGTAAATGCAAACTGCAACAAGGAGGAGGATCTTAGAGTAGAGCGCTTGCTTCTTCAAATTGAAAGAAATCACTTGAGCTGGTTGGGAATGCCCTGCAGACCCCCAGAAAGGTTCAAGGTAATCACCAAGGTGAGCAAGATCTGCACAATTTTGAGTTGACTGCCACTCGGTCCTGGATCCAGATAAGAGGTAGAAAATGGATCGGACTGGACGTAAAGAACAACATGATGTTTTCTGAGGGTCTATGTATGATACTACCTTTTTGTTGTTGTTGTTGTTTGTTTGTTTTTGTCTCGGGGCAGTGATTTTTGTCTTGCTGTCAGTGTGAGGAAGTCACTGCACACAGCCAAAGAGTAGTCTCAAAGAGTAGTCTGTCATATACCATTAGAAGGGATAACTAAATGGCTGTAGCTAAAGGCAAACAAACAGACCCAACTGCAGTAGCTATAAATAGCTATAAAAAAATAAATTAAAAATGTGGCATAGCTTGCTCAGTCGCTCTTTTGTCGCTCATGACAGCTATGAAGAAATGTGTTTTTGCTGTCAAGATATTCACCGCTGAAATGAAACTTCCTTTTCAGTGAGTGAAACAGGTGGTTGGAGCTCAGAGCTGTTTTTTCTTACCGTCTGTGGGAAGGCACTTTGAGTGGGAGACGTCATCTGATCATGCTGATTAGTGGATTGATGTCACAGCGTGCTCTGTACTGTACTGATGATGATTGCGATTGCGAAGACCTAGGTGTGTGTGTTGGGTACGCTTGTGTGTGGCTGTATACATGCGGAGTTTGTCTGTGCACTCCATGAGTGGAGTTTACTTCTGATCACAGGTCATAGACTCGTGATTTTTCTGTTTTTAAAAAAAGGGCTATTTACACCTTTTGTGTTTTGTGACTTTTTTTATTTTACTACTGTTCAATTATTATATACACACACACACTCATACACACACACACACACACACACGTACACTTGTGTTAATGAAATGAAAAATGGAGAAAAATATATTTTTCCAGCACAACATGTTCTGTGTGCTCATACATGTCATCCATCACTTAAGCCTCGAGATCCTCGTTTATAGTAATGTGCACTCACCAGTTGATCTGATTAATACGCAGGAGAAATTGCCACGAGGATGTTGCCACATTGGCTGGTAGGGGGGCTTTTTTTTGCAAAGAATTACGCCTGCACCGAATAGCTACTCAAGGCTGTCTCCTTAAAGAGAAATCTGGGACAGATCCTATAATGAAAACTCACCATGAGGCTGATCAGATTATGGGACGATGTGGAACACCTACATTTGAGATTAAAGATTGCCCATTATACGCTCAGCTTGCTACAAGCCCATGCCCCACTTAGTGCTCCACTCAACCCTGATCCTGTTATAGTCTCTTACTCTTTTAAGGCCATGAATGTAATGTACATATAAATGTATATTTATATAGTCATTTTCATATATTATTTCATTGTATCTTTCATTCTTCTCAATGTATCACCTTACTTGCAGCTACTACACCACTGATGTATGCTCTGTTCATTTCAAATCAGTCCATATATATATGCATTCTGCCACGATCGGGTGGGGAAAGGAGGAAGAGATTAAACAAGAAGGTCAAAGCAAAAAATTACAGTGCAGAGGAGAGTAGTGAAAGTTTGGAGTTACAGTCTTTTATGGATATTTTTATTCAAATGACTTTCAGAGACATTAGAAGGTTAGAAATAATGATATTTAGTTCAAATTATAATTTGCCTTTCATCAAAGAATCATCAATTTTCACATTCTCGCAGGCATTTGACAATCTAGTGGCCAATTTGCCTAGATAATCTGGAAATATGTTACACCCCATGTTCCTTGAAGCAACCCTCACAAGTTAGATTGACTTGATGGCACTGTTTAGGTGTCATACAGTTAAAACTGTTCCCGCAGCTGCTCAGCAGGTCTGGGATCCAGTGGTTTTGCTGGACTCTGCATCGTAGACAGAACACCCGCTGACTGCCTCTATTCGCAGTGAAGTGATTGCCTGCCTCCTCACATTTCTTTCAGCATCCATGAAAGATGGCATCAAGGGCTCCCACAGCATCTTTCCATTTGTTCTGCATCTTCTAAATCTTCTTTTTCACCAAGACACCTGAACTATAATGCTCTGATATAGGTCATCGTGTCTTAGTGGTGCGTTCATATGTATTTATCTTTTAATATTGGCACAAAATGTTTTGTCATTCTTTTAAAGTTCTCAGTAGAAATGCAAAGTAGTGTAAAACAGAAAAAAATTAAACCACCTCAGAATTTTACTTTTGCGGTTTGAGCAACAGAAGGGAAAAAAAACCCCCAACTGGTCCATATTTATCTAAACACCTCCAGCAGGAACTCAGACGTCCATCAGAGCAGCCATCCTTTTCGATGATAAGTGGAGCCATGTCTGTCTGACATCTGTCACACATCTTAGAAGTGAGTAAAGACCCTTCCAGAATAACTAATCTTTGCTAAGCTGTCATTTGAGTGATACCAGCAGGAGACTAAGTGGCTCACAGCTCAAGTGGTGGTCTAGGGGTCTCAGCTTGAGCAGCTGTGTAGGTGTTTGATGGAAGGCGATGGCAGTTTATCACCTCCCGGAGCAGGAAAAGGGCAAAATGCATCCAACAAAACAAACGTGTGTACTTTGAACATTAGGGCGATTAAGCCATTTCACTCATCCTGGTCTTGTTGCCACGTTGTCAAACACTTGAGAACTAAAAGACGTTCTTGTATTAGGGCTTGACTGGAAATGGTGGGGGAAAGTGGGTGGGGGTTAGGTGAGGAATGTACCCTTATGACAGAGAGAAAGTGCAACACATAGTGACAGTGAAAGAGTACAGCTGTCGTCCATATAACGGAGAAAGCAAGCTGATGGCTCCAAGGTGTTCTTTGTACATGTGAAACAGCAGAAAATCGTGGTTACGAGAGGGGCTGAGTGAGACATAGAAAGGGCGGAGAGAGTAGGGTCTGTTCAGTGACAAAATCCAAAGCTAGAGGATCACACCGCAGGTGGACCATGTTTGGAGAAGTCCCAGCCATTCTCGGCAGGTCAGCCAAAGGTTTTCCTGCAAGAATTTTAGTGTCCCGGTCCCAAACCTGCCACTGTATGTAAACAGAGTGACACGGCACCGTTTACTGTCGCTCCTATGCTTTTATTTCATCTCATTCTCATGCCGTGCAAACGCAATTCATAGTTTCTCACTGTTTTCAACCATTTTAGCATTTTATCAGTGATTTCAAATGCATTTATGCTCACATACATATCTTGATGTCCATGACCAAAATAAACATAGTCTCTCTCTATATTGTAATAGTCATCATATCGTGTTGTGCCGTCAGAGCTAGCTGGGCTCCTGTCCATACGGCTTATGTCAAAGGGCTACATTCCTTTTTTAAGGAGAACATGTGACACGCAACGTTTATCAGAGACAACTTTAAATTTGAGGTTTCTCTGGCTTCACTCTTGGGGCCGTTGCTGAGAATAATCTCAACAGTCTTGTGCAACCAAGCAGATACGAAGACGCAGCAGCTCGTGCATGCTGTGAGATTTTATTCAGAGACCGAAAGTTTATATCGCCAGATTGTACAGAGCAATTTGAAGTGCCTTATCCAGAATGACATAAACAAATTGCTCTTTTATCCTAAAATCCCTGTTGCTTCTTCAGAGTGTCTGGCCTGAAAGTTGTGGATTGTGTTGCTGTGTGATGCACATTAAAGAGGGTGTTTGTCGGCCTTCCTGATTTTATTTATTATTGATATTATTTTGCCAGCTCTGGGCTACCATCACTATAAGTTTTAGGTTAACAGGAGTCACCTGTTTCGACTGAACAAGCTAAAAAATTGAAATGATGTAGAAATATCCACAGCTAAACCAGTTTGCAGGCACAGTGGGCTTTTTTAGTGGACTGCCAATCCTTTATGTATGTATTCTAAATCGTCTTCAAAGGCATTGTAGTTTTACATGCAAAAATGTGTGTGTCTTTACGTTGAGATCAGGGGTCATCATTCATTCGTGTGTGTCTGTGTGTGTGTGCATGCACCTTGCTGTGTGGTGGTTTATTTTTTTTTCTAACTGGCATCCTCAGCATGAACTCATCAGACAGGATAAAATATCATAACGCACATCAGGACAGATTCAGGCAGAGTGATTACCTATTTCTTTGTCTTCACTTCTTTCTCTTTAAACAGTCTTTCAACAGCAAAAAGCTTCCAAAGACTCACTGAGACACAGAATTCCATGGAAGAGACATGATATACATACATTTTCTATCACATTTTGTAAATCTGAACCTTTTATCATTGTACAAAGTACAAATGTAGTATTACAAATTAGAATTTGACCACTGTACAGCCAGGGTTTTTGGTTTTTTGGGGTTAAAAAAATGATTAATAAAAATCTATAAAGATGTGAATATTATAAACTGTGTTTCTAAGATTATATAACTGCAATGGTAGAAGGTATAAATATGTGCATTTCAATGAGTGCGTCATTTGAAGAAATGGATTCTTGCCTTGGAAACTGAGTGACTGAATCCAAACTTTTACACACTGGAAAAACGTTCCAGGGGATTCGAAGAATGACTTATGCAGCCAGAAAGAGGAAGAAAAAAAAAAGAGCAATCCCCAAGAAGGGAAACCGAGGATGGGGACAAAAGCTAAAACTAGTTTCAGTGTGGCCGAAAGCTCCGAGGCAAGGGTTTCATTTTGATTTCACCTGTAAATGTATAAGGCTTCACACTTACCTTGAGAAAAAGGTGGTTCATCTGCTATCTTGCTAGACACACTTTACAACTTTTTGCAATTTTAACATCACGGGAAAAAATGTGTTCTGTAAAAAAAATAAAATAAATAATGTGCTGAGGGTTTGAATTCTATGACCTGGTCTGAACTTCATGCGTCAGAAAACGTGTATTTAAAATGGAAACCAACTTTTAAAAAAAGCAATCAGTAGCCTGCTGCAAGTGTTAAATGTACATTCAGGTGTTAATTTTTCATTTGCTTATATATGTAGGTGCTCACTGTGTACTCACTCACTGTGGCTTGTGGCTTCTCTTGTAATAGGAAAAATAAATTTATTGTTTGCATTGTATATATCTATATGATATTACATTATATGTAATTCAGATGCAGTATATTTGAAATGTACATACACGATTAATAGGTATTCTCTGAATGTTTCCCCTCGACAATCCCTCGTTTATTCTCTCCCCCCCCTCCCCCCACTATGAAACTCCCTGTACAGTAACAATGGTAATATTTTTTGCTTTGATGCATTCTTGATCGATTATCTGTTCTGGACAATGAATCTGAGTGTTCTTATCACTGGCTACCTATGACACTGTAAGATGAACTGCATCAAGTGGTTACATTGTGCCATATCCTCTCGGAATGAAATTCGAATAAAAATATACGAAACGTGTTTGAAATTTGGAGGTTTTTGATTAACGGGAAGCACAGGATGAAACACAAACACTGTTGGTGTGTTTTCTAACTTTGAATTTTATTTTATTCATTTTTAACTTTTGGAAATGTACCAGGGAACAGAGAAGATGTTAACTCGAAGGGCTACCACAGTGGGGGCTCGTTTTTTTGTTGGTTTTTTTTGTTCTTTTTTTACAACCGAGAGATGGAGAATTACAACCAGTGAGTATAATAAATTGAGGTACAACAGAGCAGCAGGAGAAAAAAAAACTATCTTATGTTTATTCGGTGCTATTTGTCAGGAAGAAAAAGAATTATAAAGTGAGCCACAAATTGCAAATTCATGACTTTTTTTTTTTTTTGCTCAAATTAATTGAGTAAACATTTTCATAGCTTCAGTTTTAACAAACCGACTTATTAAGTCTGGGCATGGATCAAAGAGTTTTCCAAATTAGGGTTATGCTATGTGAAACTGTAAGAC